CCCCGCCCCCACCCAAAAATTGTTATCTCATCTCATCGTTGGAGTCTCGCCGCACGCTCTCAGGTCTGCTGGCCATCCACCGCAGCTCCCAGCGGCACACCCACCGCAGCAAGCAGCATCACTCAATGGCTGCGGTTTTTATGAGCCCAGGGGCCACCTCTCTCGAGCAGTCGCACCCACCACAAGATGATCCCTTCGCAGCGATTCGAGAAGCGGCGCTCGAGGAAGACGGGGCGGCACAAGGACTGCTGGTAATCTTGTCGGTTCTGCGGGAGACAATTGGCGAGTGCCGAGTGACACCATCAGCAACAGCAGGTAAAGCCACGGCAGAGCCCAGCGCGTCCGAGTACCTGGCCGCCATCATCCCCGCACTCCAAGGCAAAGACCAGTCACATACTCCTCAGTTGCTGAGCCTGCTGGTTGCTGTGATGCCGCATGCCCACCGCTCGCTGTTGAGGCAAAAGTTCCCGGCCGTCGCCGCGGTTTTCATGGCGCTGCTCAAGGAGAACGGTCTCGAGGCCGAAGGCACCGAGGCCACGGCTGTCGCTTCCTCGGCCAACATCGTGCAGCGTGTGCTGATATGCACGGGTCACCTGCTGGCGGCCCAGGAGCCGAGCTGGGCAGTGTGGAACAGCCCCGGAGTTCTCCGAGCGTTCCACTCGCTGCTTCACTACTTCGCCGACCATCGGTCGAAGGTCAGGCGGGCGGCCCAAGAAGCCGTCGTGGCGGTACTCGCCACACAAAGGAGTGCCAGCGTTAGCGGTGGCATCGGAGGCACGAGCAAAACGATGTCCAGGAAGGGGCCGGCGGCACTGACGATGGAGTTTTGCCGTGTAGTGGTGAACTCGTGCACGAGCCAAGACGTGACTCGTGCGCTCCATCTGCTGCAGTTCATGCGCCTCGGCGTGCCGCTCTTCCCGCCGAACCAGGCGGCAAGCTTGTGTGAGCTGTCCCTCCGGCTGCTACCGCTTGGTAGCCCGGCTCTTACCGCCGCAGTGATGCAGATGCTCAGCGCCGTGGTGCAGAGCCCAAGGCCGTGCATGACGGCACCGTTGCTGTCCAAGTTGACGGAAGAGCTACTGACTCTCCAGCCCAGCCGGAGCGCAGGGGCTGGCGCGGTCTCCTTTGCGCCGCTGGTAGCGAGCTGCTTAGTTCGTCTTCAGGTAAGCCACCCTGGCTGGTTTTACTAGTCGCTTCTGTTGCCTGCATGTATTTCTGTATTCGAAGGTCCACTGAGAGTAGGTTGGTACAACATGACTTGATTGCACCGACCCAGGGGTAGCAGACTCCAACCGGGGCATTGCCAAAGCAGCAATATCCCATTTTCTACGACGTCCGTTTGATACAGCCCAATTGAGAGAGAGCGTATTCCTGCCCCGTTGCGTATAGTGCGCACAGCTGCCAAGCAGCAATATCCCATTTTCTACGACGTCCGTTTGATACAGCCCAATTGAGAGAGAGCGTATTCCTGCCCCGTTGCGTATAGTGCGCACAGCTGCCAAGCAGCAATATCCCATTTTCTACGACGTCCGTTTGATACAGCCCAATTGAGAGAGAGCGTATTCCTGCCCCGTTGTGTATAGTGCGCACAGCCGCTTTACGAACACCGAAGCAGCCACAGAACGTGCTATGGGAACAACCATCGGCTCCGTCGATGGAATTCCTTGTTACCCCGACTGTGTATTGTAGCCCCACTACGTAGCCTGTTCACCGCGTTGAATCATGTTGACCCAAGCTTCAATGTGTGGCACCCGTTGCTGATTCATCCAGGGCATGGACTCGGAAGCTTCTAGCAAGCTGCTCGCGCAGGCCGTGCTCGCGCTCACCGACTACTGCGAGTCTTCCTCAACGACCGTCCACAATTCATCGTGCGGGGCGCTCAATCTCATGTTCCAGGCGTGCGTTGACCAGAGCATGGTGACACAAATGGCGGGCTCTTTAGGCAGGGGGCACGCGGCGAGTGGGCCGTTGGCAGACACGTTGTCAGCTCTGGAATCGTTGCTTCAGTACCGTTTCCAGCGGTCTTGGCCCCAGTCGCTTCCACTCCTCGGGCGGCTGTTTCTGCATCTGCGGGGCGCGTCTTACCCTCTCCTGGTGAACGTCTTGCGCGGGCTCGGGGAACTCCACGACGCACTCACGAGTGTGCCGTCGGCGGCACTTCCTGGGGTAACTTCGGCCTTAAACGAGGCCGTGTCCTTTGCCATACAGGGAATGGGCGCCGAGCGTGTTCTTGGAGTTTTGCCGCTGGCACCGACGGGAGCTACGCCAGTCGCCGAGGGGGGGTTAGCGGAAGCGCGGGCTTGGCTTCTTCCGTTGCTGACAGAGCACACGGGTGCCGCGCCGTCGCGTTTGGCGTTCTTTCAGAGCTATGTTCTGACCACGGCGAAGGCTTGCGACGGTGCCGCCAAGTCCGGCCGGTTGACAGCGAACGAGGCTCGTACGCAACGTTTCCGGGTGGTCCAGCTGTGGGGCCTTTTGCCGGGATTCTGCGCGCGACCGAGCGATGTTGCCGGCACCTTCGGTACCCTTGCACCGACACTGGCGAACGCCATGCAAGACGTCAATTACCCCGGGATTCTGCCCGTGGTATGCACTGGGTTGCAGGCTCTTGTAGCAGGGGTGAAGTCGCGCTGCGGGGCTGAGGTTGGGGGTGGGGACGCTGCCGCGAAGGCTGACCTCGAGAAGCTGTCCCACACGACCACCCGCTTCTTGCCGAAGCTCTTCGCGCTCGTGGACCCGGGTGGAGACGGGGTGGTGGCCGCGGGTGCAGAGACGGGACCCGATGCTTCTGCGGCGATGATGGCTGCGAACGAGAGGACGGCGGCAGTGTGCGGGGCGGCGGCCGCGCTCGCGACCGTCGCTCCGCCAGCGTTCCTTTCAACTCTTTTCAAGAAACTTCTGCAGAAGCTGATCGAGTCCACAACGGTTGGAGGGGCGGGTGCTGCAGGAACGGAACGGGCCGAAGAAAAGGCTCCTGATCTTCAGGTGAGCAGGTTGACGTTTATTGCTTATCTCGGATTGAGAGTCGTTCCTCGATGCTTTGTGAGACATGATGTTGCGAATGAACCCCAGTATCTTTTGCCAATTTCCTTTGCTCTGTTCAACCTTTGGTGTGGTATGGTAGGGCCATGGTGTGTATGTAGTTTCCAGCATTTCGATGCGTCCATTGAAGGAATTGATTCATCGAAAGACCAACCTGGCGCACACGACATAAAAGACGAGACCGCTATGAGAAGCGTTGGTTGTTGTACTTGAGACCTGTGCAGTTTCGAAATATGCACGACCTGTACCATCGTAGCTTTCGGCTTACACGTTTCCATCTTCCATCGTTGCACATCAGACGCCGGATACGTCACTCTCGCTCTGTTGCCCCCAACCCCTTACATTTTCATTTTTTGGTGCCTTCAGAGGGCGCAGGTGTTGTTGGAATTGGCGTCGGGGTTAGCGCCATCGCTTGACCAAGAGGCAACATCGCTGTTGTATCGGTCCACGAAACCCCTGGTGCTCGATGACAGTTCTCCACAGCTCCAGAAACGAGCGTACAAGGTAAGACATGGTTACCGAGTGGCACGGTTTCTGAGGTTGCAATCGGGCGATTGTACGGGAGATGTACCTGCTGTACCCCACACGCTGCATTGTTCGTTTCCCTCAACGTGAAAAGGACACCGCTCTTGGATTCCGTCCGGCATCACTGTACTTTCTTCGATATGGTTTCCATAACATGACGGTTGACTTGCAAGAACCAACCTCGTGTGCTTGTTACACGTCTTTTGTGAATCTAATTTCTGCTCCTACTTGTGACGAACTGGAAGGTTCTGCTGGCGTTGTGCGCGCACCGAACCGACTTCATGTCCGCCCCGGAGAACCTCCCGAACGTCCTGGAGCTCTTTACTTCCTCGCTGCTCAGCTGCCACGTCTCCGCGAGAGTGATGCGCCTGCAGTGCCTCTCGCGCCTAGCCGCGTCTTTCACCCCCGAGAATGATGTGCAGGCGAAGTTCCTCCCCGCTGCCACGCTGGAAGTGGTCTTGTGCACCAAGGACTCCAACGGGAGAACAAGGGAGCTCGCGTACAATGTCCTCGTTCTGCTCGCCGTCGCTCGCGGGAACCCGGCGGATACCGTGAGGACGGTGGTCGGCGGGCTAGCGGCTTCCACACCTCATGCGCGCTCCGCCGCGGTGTTGGCCCTGGGGTATCTCCAGCTAGAATTTGGACACTTCAGGAGCGAGAGGTGGGACGCGCGTGTGGCGGACATGGTCCCCGAGCTCACAGCTACAATGCTGCTATTGCTTAAGGAGCCCTCGAGAGAAGTGGTCAAGGCTGTTCTGGGCTGGCTGAGGGTTGCAGTGGGTGGAGCGGACCGAGAGGTGCTAAGGCCGATGATCGCGGACATCGTTGTCGGCGTCATGTCCGGCACGACCCCTAGGCACAAGGTGAGGGTGTTATTGGTTGTTGTACGTGTGTATTGTAGCAAGATTCGACGTGCACCTTTCATGGTTTGTGTTTTGGTAGCACTTGCGAACACACATGGGTTGGAAGTTTGTCTCTTTGTTTTTTAATGAGGGACGTTCCTCTTTGTCGGCGATATCCACAGCCTCATGACTATACTCGAGGCAGCACAATGCCCATCCCTGTTGAGGTTCTGTTGGCCCCCAGCATCTTAGCAGCTTTCTAGAAAGTAAACATGACCTTACTGAAAGACTACCCGTTCGAGATACCTCAGTCGAAAGGGATGTTGAAGTATTTTCAGTAAGTGGGTTGAAACCGACTGGAAACTGGGCTTATTTTGAGTTTGTGTAAGCCTATACACTTGAGTTTTATCAGTGCTGCCAGTTGGTGCGAAGAACAAAACTATCCGTAAAGGTGGGTACTTCGAAGTACATTCTGAAAACATCCCCTGTAGTTCTCTACTGGATCGACGACAGAGCTATCGGGGAGAAGCTCTCCGTTATGCCATTTGTTATAGATTGTGACCTTCACAGGGAACACGGCGCAGTTTCGTTGACAACTTGCTGTAGCCGATTTTGTTCTAGATTACAGTAAGGACGAGTCTTACGGCTTGAATATTTCAGAGATTATTTTTTGTCTCAGTCGGGGGGGGGTGGCCTCCACGGAAAAAATTATCAAGATCCAAACGACCGCCTTACGGTTCCTCGAGGCATATTTTTTCTGAAGGGAAAATAGAGGCTGATTCACGTTCTTGTGGGTCACAACATGCTTCAGTACACGGTTTTGGCTCGTGTGCGACCAACAAGACATCGAGCGCCCTGTTTATGGGTCGCTTGCAGAGGGCATGTGTATCATCGCACGCTATCGGCTGCAGTTTTTGGATGTTGTCGGCCAAAGGCCTCTCTCTGATGGCATGCGTTGTACACTGATCACACTCGACTCGGAGCAAGCAGCAGAAAAAAAAGGCAACGTCCAAAAAAGGCAACACCGAACCACACCTCGGTTCACGTTTGCAGGCCGTGTGCAGTCAAAACTGGACAATACGCTCTGTTTCTGGAACGCGAGCAGAGCATATGTGCATGACCACACGCCACTGGCTGCTGTTTGTGGATGTCGTAGGCCAAAGGCCTCTCTCTGGCATGCGTTTTGGACCGATCGCGGGTGACACACGGAGCAATCACGCGGCCGAACAAGAAAAAAGCCCAAAAAGTCAACACCCCAACACACTTTGGTTCACGTTTGCAGGCCGTGTGCAATCAGAACTGGACAATACGCTCTGTTTCTGGTACGCGAGCGGAGGGTATGAGTATCACCACACGCCATTGACTGCAGTTTGTGGATGTCGACGGCCAAAGGCCTCTCCCTGGCGTACGTTTTCAACTGATCACACATGTCGCCCCGGTGATCTACTGGGTAGCCTCGTAGCCTGCTAAGGGCCAGGTCATGGGTTCGACTCTCGACAGAGTGAGTTTTTTCTCCCTAATTAAATCCTGGTCTCCGTTGGAAGAGTCGCGCTGCAAAGCCCGTCGTGAGTAAACTTGATCGACTTCATAATTCGCGAGGGAAGGGATTGCTGTACCCTTCCCGCGATAAAAATATCTCAGGCAGGAACCGCAGGAGGGGGTTCAACCCCCCCCTCCTATGTGACCCCGGTTGGGTCTTCTAGCTGGTAGAAGTGAGGGATAGGGACCAGAGGGGCACACGACAGAGTCCAATGATGGGAGAAAAAAAAAACATGCGGCAGGCGCAATGCCGGCTCTTTTCCGCCGAAAGGCAAGAATGTCAGCAGAGCAATGTGGCAGGGTTGACGTTTTCGGCTCGTGTGCGGCCAACACGACGCAGAACACCCTAAATTTTACATACCTGCAGAGGGTGTGTGCATGACCTCATGATACTGGCCTCTGTTTGGCCAGCAGACGGTGTAGTTCCTCGTTCTGGCACGATCGGGGTGTGACCAGGGGGTACCCCCCCCCATTTCTAACAGCGATATTCCTTCCCGATCGCTGTTAAAAGAAGATTCTTGGACATATTCGGGTTGTGATAATTTGCCATGTTCCTCCGCGTAAGCAGCCCAAAT